CCCACCCAGCCCCGAGACACCCAGGCCTGTCCTCGGTAGGTCCCCGGGCAGGCTGGCTGGAGAGACCGGGCGCCAGGGACGTCCCCAGCGAGGGCGTGGCATATGCAGATAGGCTTTGCGGCGCGCGGAGCTGCCGGTCACGGTCGGTCTGGGGACCCCGTCCGTGCGGATTTCCAACGATGCTGCCGGTGTGACTTTCCCCTGGCGGCGAGGATGGGGCAAAGGGGACTGGAGAGGGTGAGGCGGCTGGGGCCGCATGAGAGAAGTGACCGTGTGTTAGAGTGTGGTGGGCACGAGAGTGTGTGAGAGGAAGCGGGAATGACAACTCATACTTTTACCAGGGAGATACCATGATCACGAAGGTGGTTTCCCAGGGCGAGGCTTATCCATTGCACTCGGATGTGCTGGCCTGCATTTCAAATGTGGGGAAACTCGACTGCATAATTTGTGGTAGTGGGGACTGCGTTCGCGCGCTTTCCCTGGCATTCTAACAGGTTGAAACAGGTGGCACCCGGTCGTGTTTTCTCTTTTTTCCCCGAAGAGACTGCTGCTGGTTTTCTTCGCTCGCTTGGGGAAGAGCTTTTTGCGCACGGGTTAGCTGAAAACATTACCATCTTCTGCTTTTCCAGGCCAAAGCTGCGTTTTTCCTGTAAGTTTGGGGTGTGTAGAGGAAAAAGCCACAACAGCTTTCTCTGGTGTGGACTGGGCCCCTGGGGAAAATATCCCAGGATCTGTTAACCGCTAGCAGAAACGACAGAGTATGTATGGGCAATTAATCCTGGTACAGGCAAGTATCCGGCTCAGGAGTTTTGGAAAGGCCGTCGGGGTTGACTTCCCGCGTCCCCACCTGAGAGATCGACTCATGGAGCTGCTGATCCCACCCACGCAGGTGCTGGGCTTGTAGGCAGCAGGATCTTCCGGAAGGACTAGAACTGACGCATCCCACTCCCAAGAGAAGCAGACAGGGTTGGCTTACGTCCCCACCTAGGGGAGATCGACTCACGGGAGCTGCTGATCCCACCCACGCAGGTGCTGGGCTTGTAGGCAGCAGGATCTTCTGGAAGGACTAGAACTGACTCATCCCACTCCCAAAGAGAAGCAGACGTGTCATGCATGACAGTGAAGGCCGGACTACAAAGCCCTCAAGAACAGTTTGGGTCCTCGCTAATGGCCTTGGGAGACCACGCAAGACTGGTCAGAAAAGCCATGTAGAAAGGCTTTTCATGGGCCGGGTGCGGTGACTCGCCTCCTAAACCCAGCACTTTGAGAGGCCAGAACAGTAGTCCCTGAAACCAACAAAAATTTCACCAAGACCGCATAATTTGTACAACTAATGTGGAATCCCAATCATTGTCATTCAACATTTGCTCAAACCAGACAGAGTCGCCCATTAAGCAGAAGTTTTTGAGACAGATGGCACCTACTCCAGCACAAGCAGCAAATAGATAAATCGAAGAAGAAGAAACTCAAAATACAAGTCAGCAGCCTCAATCAGGAGAAGCAATTCTGCTCTGATGTTCAGGGCCACCATCCTGACATGGACCTTTCCTTCAATTATAATGTTGCCATTTTGCTATCTTAAGACCCTTATATTCCAAGCCTTCTCAGACCTCAGCACCCCAGGATATGTGTAATAAGAAGGGTAAATACAGGCTTCGCGCCGTGACTCGCCTTGTAATCCCAGCACTTTGGGAGGCCCAGGTGGGTAGATCTTGCCTGAGATCAGAGTTCGAGACCAGCTTGACCAACATGGCAAAATCCTGTCTCTACTAAAAATACAAAAATTGCTTCCCGGCGTGGTGTGGTGCGTCTGCCTGTAATCCCAGCTACCCGGGAGGCTGAGGCAGGAGGATCGCTTGAACCCAGGAGTCAGAGAGGTTGCAGTGAGCCGAGATCATGCCACTTGTACCACTCCAGCCAGCCTGGGTGACAGAGCGAGACTCTGTCTCAAAAAAAAAGAAAAGAAAAAAAAAAAAAAGAAAAAAAAAAAGTAAATACAAAACTGGAAGAAGGAAAGAAAAATGTTGGCCGGGCACGGTGGCTCACGCCTGTAATCCCAGCACTTTTGGGAGGCCGAGGCGAGAGGATCACTTCTTGAGCCCAGGAGTTGGAGACCAAGCCTGGGCAACACAGCCAGAGACCTCGTCTCTAAAGTCAGGCTCAAACCAAACCAAGCCAAAAACAAAACAAAACAAAAGGCAGGAGGAGGCTGCAGTGAGCAGTGATGGTGCCACTCCACCCGAGTGACAGAGCCTGCCTCAAAAAGAAAAAAGAAAAAAGAAAAACATGTGCCCCTGGTGCCATAACGAAAAGAGACGTTTCCCCTTCCTTTGGCGTGAGTCTCTGCTTTTTGGAGACAGGAGTCTGTCTCTGTCACCCAGGCTGGGGAGTGCGGTCGTATCAACCTCTGCAGCCTCGGGCTCCTGGGTTCAGGCGGTCCTCCGGCCTCAGCCTGCCTCTAGCTGGAACCACAGGTGTCATTGCACACAAGGCTAACTGGCTAATTTTAATTTTGTTTTGTTTTTGTTTTGTTTTGTTTTTGTTTTATTTTGATAGAGCGGTGTCTTCTGTGTTGCCCAGGTGGCCTCAAACTCCTGGGCCCAGCGATCCTTCGCCTCGGCCCCCAAAATGCTCTTTTAAATTAAGGTGTCAGCCTTCTGCCTAACTCATTGAGTCATATTAACAGCTAAATAAGCCTCTTGCCAGTTTTACAACCTGGAAGGTTTACCTTGAGGGCCTTGAGAAGCCACAGCTCAAAGGTAGAATTTCAAGGAAGATAGTGTCCCCCATCTCCTTTCTATCTCTGGGAATGTACTTGACTGGTTGATTGATATTTGTAGACCAGTTTTTTTTTTTTTTCTTTTTGAGACAAGTCTTGCTCTGCTCGCTTCGGGCTGGAGTGCGTGAGTGCAATCTCGGCTCACTGCAGCCTCCTCCCGGGTTCAAGCGTCCTCCTGCCTCAATCTCCCAAGTAGCTGCTTCAGGACCTGGCGCGATGCCTGATCGGCTAATTCCTGTATTGTGTACAGACAAGGATTTCACCATGTTGCCCAGGCTGGTCTCCAGGCTGACCTCCAAGGTAATCCATCGCCTCGGCTCCCAGAGTCTCTTTCTGGGATTGAAGGCGTGAGCCCTGCACCCGGCCTCTATCTCTGGGAATTTAGCCTGGGTGGCTGGCTCCAAGTCATCACTGCCTCCTTGTCATGGAGGTATCAGAGGCTTTATTTTCCGCACTTTGGCTAAAGGCAGTTATTAACACAGCTGACGCTCCAATTGCCAGTTGAATTGAGGATGAACTGTGTGTATGATAGTGCTAAGTTTCTTTCTAGGGGACAAATTCTTGACAACATGTATTTCAGGGCTTGCATCTGCCTACCTATGTAAAGAGATGACATTTCCTGGGGCTATAAAGCGGAATTGTCGGCCGGACGCGCGTGGCTCACACCTTCAATCCCATCCCTTTGCAGGAAGCCAAGGCGGGAGGTCACTTGAGCCCAGGAGTTTGAGACAGTCTGGGCAACATGTGGAGACTTCCTGTCTCACTTAAAAGAAAAGAAAAAAGAAACATTGCAGTTCTGTATCCAGAAGTCCCACAGTCTACCACACTGATTTTCCTCAGCAGTTTCTCCAGGCTGTCTCAGAATTTACTGGCATAGATCAGGAGCAGATCAGAAGATTCTGCCCAGAGTCTTAGCCCACGCTGTCTCGGCTCTCTTACTGACTATCAAACTCAAGTTAGGCAAAAGTGGTAGGAGTAGGCCGGCGTGGTGGCTCACGCCTGTAATCCCAACCCTTTGGGAGGCCGAGGCGGGGCGGATCCACCTGAGGTCGAGAGCAGCCTGGCCAGCGTGGCAAAACCCCGTCTCCTGCCAGAAATGCAAAATTAGTCAGGGTGGTGGTGGAGTGCCTGGTAATCCCAGCTACTCGGGAGGCTGAAGTAGGAGAATCACTTGAACCCGGGAGGCGGAGGTTGCGGTGAGCCGAGATGGCACCATTGCACTCCAGCCTGGGCAACAAAGAGCGAAACTCCGTCAGAAGGAAAAAAGAAGAAAAGGTATACTCAGAAAAGGGTCATTCCCTCTCTCCTTCCACTCTGTTCTACGTCAGTCAGCCTGGTAAATAGTTTCATCAATTCTGGTTTATCAGGCTTGTATTTCTTTTCGCAAGAAGAAAAACACACTTTTTTTGCAAGAAGAAATAGACACAGGGTGGCATACTACACATACCCTTTTTCACTTTACTTTCCTCACTGTACAACATTGTCAATGTGCCATACCTAGGGAAACCTAGATAGAGGTCGAGCGAACCCTGCCCAAGACCCCAAGAACAGCATCAACGGAAATGTAAACGTACTAGGCACCACTCGAGGCCTGACTAGCCCAAGGGACTGATTTTCCAACAGTAAAGACAGGTTATCAAAGGATTCAGTCCAACTTTGAACTTCAATCTACAAAGTAATATTCATTTTAACTAGAAACGTCGGAGTAGATGTCTCTCGGTCCTCATTTTTCCCGAAGGTGAGCCCAAACTCGAGCCCTACTCTGCCCCTGCGCTGGGTCCCTCCGAGGGCGGGCGGTGGGGCCGCGAGCTCTCTCTCTCTCTCTGGTCCTCTCGGGTCTCCCTTTTAGGTCCCAGACCCGCGGCCGCGCGTCCAACCGCGCCCTCCCAGCACCCGAGCGGGCCCACCGCAGGTCTCGCGTCAACCAGGAGGAAAGACAGGAGCGCTGGAGGCGTCCCGCGGTAGTAGGGGCGTGGCATATGCAGATGTACACCGCGCGCGGAGCCTGCCGGTCCCTTCCGGCCTGGGACTCCCCCTTCCACGTCCCGCGCCGCGACATCGGGAGTGGTTTCGGGGTGGTTTTCCGGAGCGACGAGGGTTAACAAGGGGGTCTAGAAGGGGAGAGGGGGCTGGGGGTCGCGCGAGGGAAGTGACCGTGTGTTTAGTGTGTGGCGAGCGGGAGGGAGTGAGTGGACGGTGGGCCGGCGGGGGTTTGGAGCGTTTATTTACTTATCAAGATAGATTTCATCATTAGGATAAGCGCTGTTTTTTCTCACGGTGAGACGAATTCTTTGTACTTCGGTTGCATTGATAGCTACGATTTCCTCCTGTGTGGGAAACTCGACTGCCTAATTTGTGGAAGTTGGGACTGCGTTCGTGCTGTCTCCTGGTCTTTGGCTGTTATGGTTTTTTTTTTTTTTTTTTTTTTTGAGACAGAGTTCTGCTATGTCGTTCGGAGTGGAGTGCAGTGGCCGGATTTCAGCTTACTGCAAGCTCTGCCTCCTGGGTTTACACCGTTCTCCCGCCTCATCCTCCGGAGTAGCTGGGACTACAGGCGCCGGCCTGTAGAGATGGGGATTCACCGTGTTAGCCAGGATGGTCTCGATTTCCCGACCTCGTGATCCGCCCGTCTCGGCCTCCCAAAGTGCTGGGATTACAGGCTTGAGCCACCGTGCCCGGCAGGTTGTTTTTTTTTAAAGAGAGTTTTAGCTGATTTCTTGTTGCTTTGAGTCTTGCAGAGAAGAGGGTGCATGGTCTTCGTTTTCCCGTTTACGGCTGGTGGAGAAACTGGTTTACCACAGACAGAGTTTTTCTCGGAACGTAATTTTTTTATCGGGCCGTGGAAGGACTAACTTACGGCAGAGTTCTTTTCAGACTGACACCTCATTTCTTTGTTTTTCTTTGAGACGAAGTCTTAATTCGTCGCTCCGTCACTCAGGCAGGAGTGCAGTGGTGCGATCTCGGCTCCCTGCAGCCTCCGCCTCCCGGGTTCAAGCAATTCTGTCTCAGCCTCCCGAGTAACGGGAACGACAGGCGCGCCGCCACGCCCGGCTAATTTTTTATGTTTAGTAGAGATGGGATTTTACCATGTTGACCAGGATGGTCTTGATTTCCTGACCTCGTGATCCGCCCGCTTCGGCCTCCCAAACTGCTGGGATGACAGGCGTGAGCCACCGCGCCCGGCCTCTTTCTTCCTCCCCATCCTGTCTCTGTAGTACTTAGTACCTTGCTGCTTAGTAGTAGTGTGGCCCTCGGCCAGCAGCTTCAGCATCACCTGGCACCTTGGAGTGACTCACTTAAGAATGCAGACTCGGCCGGACGCTGTGGCTCACGCCTGTAATCCCAGCATTTTGGGAGGCCGAGGCGGGTGGATCACCTGAGATCAGGAGTTCGAGATCAGCCTGATCAACATGGAGAAACCCCGTCTCTACTAAAAATACAAAATTATCCGGGCGTGGCGGCGCATGCCTGTAATCCCAGCTACTCGGGAGGCTGAGACAGGAGAACCGCTTGAACCCGGGAGGCGGAGGTTACGGTGAGCCGTGATCGCGCCATTGCACTCCAGCCTGGGCAACAGAGCAAGACTCCGTCTCAAAAATAAATAAATAAATAATAAATAAAGAGTGCAGACTCTTAGGCCCCACCTTTGCAACATCTACTGAGTCAGAATGTGCAGTCTGTCCGCGGTGACGTTAAAGGAGCACTGATCCGAACATGCTGTATGTTTTAGTTTTCTATCTAAGTTCACCCACTTGGAATGTAAGCTCCAGGTCAGCGATTCTTGCCTATTTTGTTGACTGCTCCATCTACAGGTGGCTAGAAAGCTGCCTGGATTTCAATATATTTGTCGGATTAATCTGTTGACAACAGGTGCCCAGGTCCTAGCTCTGAACCCACGGGAGATTAATATTGTGTCTTTCCTACAGAGAAATCACAGAGTTGCAAATCCTCCCTGTTCAGCTTCATCAGCACTTAATACCATTTGCTGGAGCTCCTGAGTGAGAGCTAGGACGAAACTAGTCCCTGAACCCAGCGGGAGGATCCACTAGTCCACACCCTCGACCTCTGTCAGCCTCTTCAGCCCCTTCTCTCCTCGCTTGAGGAGAATGTGATCGTTGGACAGCCATCAGGAAAAGGTAAGTTTGGGGTAAGCACCTTGTTTTTCTCACACCGCTGCCCCTTCTATTTATCCGGTGGTTTAACCTGGTTTGAGCCAACATCATCTTGCCTGGATTAGCAGGTCTCCTGGTTGGTCTCCCTGCTTTTCATTTCATTTATTATTATTATTATTATTATTATTATTATTTATCAGACCATGCCACACGTCTGCTCAAAACCTGGTTCACCCAGGTTTTTTTTTTTTTTTTTTTTTTTTTGAGACGGAGTCTCGCTCTGTCGCCCAGGCTGGAGCGCAGTGGCGCGATCTGGCTCACTGCAAGCTCCGCCTCCCGGGTTCACGCCATTCTCCTGCCTCAGCCTCGCGAGTAGCTGGGACTACAGGCGCCCGCCAACACGGCCGGCTAATTTTTTTTTGTATTTTTAGTAGAGATGGGGTTTCACCGTGTTAGCCAGGATGGTCTCATCTCCTGACCTTGTGATCCGCCCGCCTCGGCCTCCCAAAGTGCTGGGATTACAGGCGTGAGCCACCGCGCCTGGCCTGTTGTTTTTTGAGGCCGGGTCTCGCTCTGTCGCTCAGACTGGAATGCAGCGCCGCCATCTCGGCTTACTGCAACCTCTGCCTCCGGCGTTCAAGCGATCCTCCCGCCTCAGCCTCCCGAGTAGCTGGAGCAACAGAGGCACGCGCCACCACGCCCGGTTAATTTTTGTATTTTTTGTAGAGAAGGAGTCTCGCCATGTTGGCCAGGCTGGTCTCGAACTCCTGGGCTCAAGCGATCCGCCTACCTTGGCCTCCCAAAGTGCTGGGATGACAGGCGTGAGCCACCGGCCCCTATCGGGTTATCTTGTTTGATCACAAAACGGGCAATTTCTTGAGTGCAAGTCAGAAATGACCAGAGGGCACTTTGTGGGGCCACCCTGTGTACCAGAGTGGGGGTGGGGGTGGTGTGAGGGTGGCTCCAGTGCCGCGGGGCTGAACGGCCCCTGATCCCTACTCTGGGGCTTCCGGGAGGGGCGCCGCGTGGCTGCGGCTGAGGGGGTCCGGGCTTCCTTTCTTCAAACTCGAGACTCTTGAGTTTTCCTTCCAGCGTCACTGCCTTCGGTTACTAGATATTCTGAGGTGGTGCGTGTCACTTTTACTCAGGAAGACGCGACAAACGAAAGTTACCACGATTTCTTACTGAGGCGGTTTCGCACTTAAAACGTCAATGGGCAAAAACTCCCAGCCTGAGTTTTCTTTTGTTTGTTTGTTTTTAGTTTTTTTGAGACGCAGTTTTTACTCTGTCGCCCAGGCTGGAGTGCAGTGTCACGATCTCCGCTCACTGCTACCCCGGCCTCCCGGGCTCAAGCGATTCTCCTGCCTCAGCCTCCCGAGTAGCTGGTATTACAGGCGTGCTGCCACCACGCCCGGCTAATTTTTGTATTTTTAGTAGAGACGGGGTTTCGCCGTGTTGGCCAGGATGGTCTCGAACTCCTGACCTCAGGTGATCCACCCGCTTCGGCCTCCCTCTCCCAAAGTGCTGGGATTACAGGCGTGAGCCACCGAGCCCGGCCCCGAATTTTCGATTACTTGAAGGTGAGCTCGATCTGGCGAGAAGAGAAGGGGCTAAATACTTGTTTTTTGGTGAAAGGAAGGTGAGACCAAACCCGAGCCCAGTTCTGCCCACGCTCTGGGTCTCTCCGCGGTTGGGCGGTGGGGCCGCGAGCCCTCTCTCTCTCTCTCCCTTCTCACTATCCTCTCTCTCTCTCTCTCTGCTGCTCTCTCTCTTCTCTCTCTTCTGTCACTCTCTCTCTCCTCCCCCACTCTCTCTCCCTTCTCACTATCCTCTCTCTCTCTGCTGCTCTCTTCTCTCTCTCTCTCTCCTCACTCTCTCCCTTCTCACTATCCTCTCTCTCTCTGCTGCCCTCTTTCTTCTCTTTCTCTCTCTCCTCACTCTCTCCCTTCTCACTATCCTCTCTCTCTCTGCTGCTCTCTTCTCTCTCTCTCTCTCCTCACTCTCTCTCCCTTCTCACTATCCTCTCTCTCTCTCTGCTGCTCTCTCTCTTCTGTCACTCTCTCTCTCTCCTCACTCTCTCCCGTCTCACTCTCCTCTCTCTCTGCTGCTCTCTCTCTTCTCTCTGTCACTGTCTCTCTCTCTCTCTCCGCACTCTCTCTCCTCACTCTCACTCTTTCTCCTCACTATTCTCTCTCTCCTCTCTCTCTCTCCCTCTCTCTCTCCTCACTCTTTCTCCCCTCTCACTATCCTCTCTCTCTCTCTGCTGTCTCTCTCTCTTCTCTCTGTCACTCTCCCTCTTCTCACTATCCTTTCTCTCTCTGCTGTCTCTCTCCTCTGTCACTGTCTCTCTCTCTCTCCCCTCACTCTCTTCTCACTATCCCCTCTCTCTCTGCTGTCTCTCTTCTCTCTGTCACCGTCACTCTCTCTCTCTCTCCCCTCACTCTCTTCTCACTATCCTCTCTCTCTCTGCTGTCTCTCTTCTGTCACTGTGTCTCTCTCTCTCCTCTCCTCTCTCTGCTGTCTCTCTCTCCTCTCTCTCTCTCGCTCTCCTCTCTCTTCGCTCCCTCTCGTCCCCTCGGGTCTCCCTTTCAGGTCCCTGGTCTTCGGCCGCGCGCCCAGCTAGTCCCGGAGACACCCGTGGGCCTGCCCAGGGCCCTCGCTAGGTCAGGCATCCGGGAGCAGGAGAGACCAGAGCGCTGGGAACGTCCCCCAGCGAGGGCGTGACGTATGCAGATGAGGACGGCGCGCGGAGGCTGCCGGTCACGCTGGGCCTGGGCCCCCACGTCCCGCGCGGCGACATCCGAGTGCTGCCGGGGTGGTTTTCCGTAGCGGCGAGGGTGGGGCGAGGGAGCTGGAGAGGGTGAGGGGGAGAGGAGGCGGGGCCGACAGCTCATACTTAACCTGGCAGGAGAGAGGTCATCATGCAGGTGGCTTTCTCAGGGCGAGGCTTATCCATTGCCCTCCGGATGTGCTGAGCCCGGCGATTATCCCCGAATGTGGGCAACTCGACTGCGTAATTTGTGGTAGTAGGGGACTGCGTTAGCGCTCTGCTCTCCCTTGATCCTTTTTAACCTGTTCTGAAAAGCACGCTTTTGCTTTCGTGCTCCTCAGGAGCAGCCGCCCGTGATCAGGGGCTCGTTGTTCTTCGCGTTGTGCTCCTGCGTCTTCGTGACTCGAACTGCTTGTTTGTCACGAGCCTGGGGTTTCAGGGGTGCACGCGTGGTCTTATTATAGTCATGATTGCCGATTCTTGGCAAGCTGCAAGATCGGGGACCTGTCTAGGTAGGAAGTAAAGGTGGGTGTTTTCCTCCTCTTTTTAGCTGTTTTTTTTTTTTTTCTCGTTTATGTCTAAACTAGGTGATATTTGGAGATCGGACACTGTGGGGTGATGCAGAATACAGGATCCTTGTTATATAAATTACTGGGGCTTCTTTTTTAAACTTGCAGGTCTGGTTTGTCAGGAACCGAGTCTGATAGAATCCCCCGAGTCTGACACGGTGGTGGTGGTGGTTTGGTTGGTGGTGGTTGTTTTTTTTCTTTTTTTCCCCTAAAGTCTGCACACAGCTTAGGTTGGTTGTTTTTTCCCTTGAGCAGACACTTTAATCCGCAAAATGGGATGACTCCTACGTTGCAACACCTTGTAACACTTTGCCGCCTTCGGCTGACAGCACATGCCCTAAACATCTTACTTCAGTTTCACAATATTACAGTTTGTCTAGTAGTGTGATGTCTTATGTCCCTGCCGAGGGAGAAATTGAGGGAGAAATTGTAACAAAGCCAAAGTATCAGTTTACATTGCCCTTGAGTTTCATAGGTTACCAGCAAATCATCTGCGTATTAAATCATTCTAGATCCCTCTGGTGGGACACATTTCTCTAAGTTTTCTTGTAAAGGACAGGAAAATAGTGGGAGAGTTCTGAAACCCTCTGCCATAAATATCGAACTTTGCCATAAATATGGGATTCCATAAGAATTTAGACTCATCCGTTAGAGGGATACAAAAGCAGGCAGAACATAGATCAACTACAGGGAAAAATTTTGCAAACAGCACTAAATTTAGAATAACTGCAGAGTTACGAACTACAGGAGTTAATGAAACAAGGAATTTATTTACTTCGCTAAGATACCGTTTTATATTACCTCTTTACAGGATGAGTGTCCTTTTTAAAATAAGCTCTTGCTTTTTTTTTTTTTTTTTTTGCTTTTTTTTTTTTGAGACGGAGTTTTGCTCTTGTTGCCCAGGCGTGAGTGCAGTGGCGCGATCTCGGCTCACCGCACCCCGCAACCTCCCCCGAACCTCCACCTCCTGGGTTCAAGTGATTCTCCTGCCTCAGCCTTCTGAGTAGCTGGGATTACAGGCATGTGCCACCATGCCCGGCTAATTTTGTGTTTTTAGTAGAGATGGGGTTTTTCCCTGTTGGTCAGGCTGGTCTCGAAATCCTGATCTCTGGTGATCCACCCGCCCCCGCCTTCCAAAGTGCTGGGATTACAGGCGTGAGCCGCTGTGCCCGGCGGGCTCTTGCTTTTTTCTTTTTCTTTCTTTCTTTGTTTCTATTATTTTTATTTATTTATTTTTTTGAGACAGAGTTTCACTCTTGTTGCCCAGGCTGCAGTGCAATGGCACAATCTTGGCTCACTGCAACTTCCACCTTCTGCGTTCAAAAGCAATTCTCCTACCTCAGCCTCCTGAGTAGCTGGGATTACAGGTGTGCACCACCACACCCGGCTAATTCTGTATTTTTAGTAGACACAGGGTTTCAGCATGTTGATTAGGCTGGTCTCGAACTACTGACCTCAAGTGATCCACCTGCCTCGGCCTCCCAAAGTGCTGGGATTACAGGCGTGAGCCACTGTGCCTGGCCTTTTTCTTTTCCTTTTTTTTTTTTTTTTTTTAGCGGAGTTTCCTTCTTGTCGCCCTGGCTGGAATGCAGTGGTGTGATCTCAGCTCACTGCAGCCTCCGCCTCCCTGATTGAAGCGATTCTCCTGCCTCAGTCTCCTGAGTAGGTGGGATTACAGGCACGCAGCACCATGCCCAGCTAATTTTTGTGTTTTAGTAGAGATGGGGTTTCACCATGTTGGCCAGGCTGGTCTCCAACTCCTGACCTCAAGTGATCCACCTGTCTCAGCCTCCCAGAGTGCTGGGATTACAGGCATGAGCCAGCGTGCCCAGCCTTAATTTTTCGTTCTCTTCTTCTTCTATTACTATTTTTTAAAATAGAGACAGGTTTCCCTATGTTGCCCAGGCTAATCTCAAACTCCTGGTCTCAAGCGGTCCTCCTGCCTCAGCCTCCCAAAGTTTCTGGGATTACAGGCTTGAGCTACCACACCCGGCCACAAGGGCCTTTTTAAAATAGGCTCCTATTTTTTTTGTTGTTGTTTGTTTCGTTGTTTAATTGTTATATAAACGGTTTTATTCCATCAAATTGAGTTATCTACAAAGGATATCATTTTATACCTGACCATGGTTTGTCCTTTTGGTGAGTTATTGGTTCTCTCTCTCCAAATAGCATCATTATTCCCTAATGTCTAACGTCATGCATGCACCAATTTGTTTCAGCCCGGATGCTTTTCCAGTTCACTGTGAAACTCTCTCTCTCTCTCTGCCATACTCCTTTTCTTTCAGAAGGCATACAAGTACCAACTAGGTGTCTCTTTCTCCAAGGAGTTCCACAAAATATTCCATCCAGAGTGCAGATGATGGTAGGGAGTCTTTAATTTACACAGGTGTCTTCCCAGTAGGTTTATAGGAGAATCAAGAGAATGAAAGAACACACGTTCCTCAGTCAGAGGTCCTATCTGTATGAGAACTGCCAGCGAAAAGTAGCAAGTAGAAAGTTTACCTGGAAAATCAACAACCTGCATTGATCTATCACCAGATGAAAATCGGGAAATTTCAGAAGAACCTGAAGAATAAGTAGCACTGAAGGACCAGGGGCAGTGGCTCATGCCTATAATCCCAACGCTTGGGGAGGTGGAGGCGGGCGGATCACTTGAGGTCAGGAGTTTGAGACCAGCCTGGCTAACATGATGAAACCCCGTCTCTACTAAAAATACAAAAATCAGCTGGGCCTGGTGGTGGGTGCCTGTAATCCCAGCTACTCAGGAGACTGAGGCAGGAGAATCACCTGAACCTGAGAGGCGGAGGTTGCAGTGAGCCAAGATCATGGCACTGCACTCTAGCCTGGGTGACAGAGCAAGATTCTGTCTCAAAAAAAAAAAAAAAAAAAAAAAAGTAGCACCAGTATCTGTCAAAGAAGGTAAGGCTATTTTTTGGGCTGAAGAAATTATTGACACATAGGGTTGGTTCTCCTGTTTCCCCTGCCAAGACTCCCCCAATCTGTCAATTTTGCGATATTTCACAATTATTTTTCAGCTAAGAGTTTTGTCCTTCTGGGCTCTCCTGATTCCCTGGTCCCTGCAACTTCTGCATTCTCTGGTGTCTCTTTCCTTTTTTCTTTTTTTCTTTTTTCTTTTTTCTTTTTTTTTTTTTTGAGACGGAGTCTCGGTCCCTTGCCCAGGCTGGAGTGCAGTGGTGCGATCTCGGCTCACTGCAGGGAGATCTCCACATCCCGGGTTCAAGCAATTCTCCTGCCTCAGCCTCTGGAGTAGCTGGGACTACAGGCGCGCACCACTGCGCAAAGCTAAGTTTTGTATTTTTAGGAGAGATGGGGTTTCACCATGTTGGCAAGGATGGTCTCGATCTCCTGACCTTATGATCCGCCCGCCTCAGCCTCCGAAAGTGCTGGGATTACAGGCGTGAGCCACTGTGCGCAGCCCTCTGGAGTCTCTTTCTACAATCCCTCTTCTGCTCTCCTGGCCCTTGCAATAACGACTTAAAAGGTGTTCCTGTTTCCTTTGCTCCCCTCATAGGAGATCCAGAGTAGGGACTGATTCCCCTTAGTTGTGAGCAGCTAGCATAGCAGTTTAGCCTTTCCTCTTTTCTTCTTTCTCTAGACTGTCCCCAAATCTTAGTAGAGTCTCGCTGTATTGCTCAGGCTGGAATGCAGTGGTGCGATCTTGGCTTACTGCAGGGAGATCCCCGCCTCCCAGGTTCAAGTGATTCTCCTACTTCAGCCTCCCGAGTAGCTGGGATTACTATTCTCCTACTTCAGCCTCCCGAGTAGCTGGGATTACAGGCACCCACCACCACCCCTGACTAATTTTGTATTTTCAGTAGAGACGGCTTGCCACGCTGGCCAGGCTGCTCGACCTCAGGTGATCCGTCGCCGCGCTCCCAAAGTGCTGGGATTACAGGCGTGAGCCACCACGCCGGGCCTACCTACTACTTTTGCCTAACTTGAGTCAGATAGTCAGTAAGAGAGCCGAGACAAAGGTGGGCTAAGACCTGGGCAGAATTCTCTGATCTGCTCCGGATCTATGCCAGTAAATTCTGAGACAGCCTGGGAGAACGCTGAGGAAAACTGTGGTAGACTGTGGGACTTCTGGATACAGAACTGCAATGTTTCTTTTTTTCTTTTCTTTTTTTAAGTAGACAGGAAGTCTCCATATGTTGCCCAGACTGGTCTCAAACTCCTGGGCTCAAGTGACCTCCGCCTTGGTTTTCCAAAGGGATGGGATTGAAGGTGTGAGCCACGGCGTCCTCGGCCCGACACCCGCTTATAGCCCCAGGAAATGTCACCCTTTACATAGGTAGGCAGATGCAAGCCTTGAAACACATGTTGTCAAGAATTTGTCCTAGAAAGAAACTTAGCAATTACTTCCATAGCACAGTTCATCTCAATTCAACTGGCAATTGAGCGGTCACGTTATTAATCAAGCCTTTAGCCAAAGGAAAATAGCTCTGATACCTCCATGACAAGGAGGTAGTGATGACTGAGCCAGCCACCTAGGCTAAATTAGAGAGGCCGGCGCAGGGCTCACGCCTAATCCAGTAGACTTGGGAGGCCGAGGCGGGCGGATTACCTGAGGTCAAGAGCCTGAGACCAGCCTGGCGAACATGGTGAAACCCTCGTCTGTACTACTAAATACAAATTAGCCGGATCGTGGTGGCACGCTTGCAATCCCAGCTACTTGGGAGACTGAGGTAGGAGCAT